TATGCAATTAAAACTAACAGACCATTCTTGGCTGAAGGCTTTGAATCTGTTACAGACAGATTGAGTTTTGAGAAAGATTCCTCTGAGATTATGTTTTATGAAATCACACTAATTGTTTTTACATTCATTTGTTCTATGCCCAACTCTGATAACAAGTCTTTTGCAATAGTAAAAAATACTCTATGGAATGAGTTTGATTACAGTATTTTCTCTATCCTTTAAGCTTTCATGCACGTCAAATGCATTAACATCAAAAAGGAGCCAATAATAAAAATGTTCTGCTTCCCAGGTTCAATAAGTAAAGCAATATAGCTTTTCAATGTTTCAAGTCCAAATTGGGTATTCATCAGGTTCATACTGTAGGTATCAACACTGATTGTTTAAATCTGTTAGTAAGAAGCCTCCAAATATTGTACTTTTTTTTTTTAAAGTAAATTATTTTAAAGGGAGGGCTTGGGAAATATATCACTGTGCAGGTTTGGACTCCCCGAGCACAGAGAGAAATGTGTATCTGTTTTGCACATTGAACACGACATTGGACATAAACAAAGGCTCTTTAGCCATTAAAACCTATAACCACCTCATTACGCATTAGAACGTAATTTCCCTTCTACTCTGATCTGATAAAGGGCTCTTCACAAAGCTAACACTTAAAGCTATCAGCATAAAGACATATTCAATACGCTCCACAGCATTCAGCTCACACTTCAAATACTGAGAATTTGGTTTGGGTTTTAAACATAAAAGCCACTATTTCTGTGAATTGCAGTCTCTGCGCTACCACCTCAATCACGCAGGCAGAAAACCTTTACATCGAATTATTGTAATAAATGAAAACAATGGAGGTAACAAGCATGAGTCTGCAAAACGGAAAAAAAAGAAAATACATTTACAAGTATCTAAAACATAAAACTTCCAACCAAAACCTCACAATATTTCTAAGAGGAGGTGAAAGCTGAGTTACCCTCTGCTAAGAAAGCAGGATTCAATTTTGCTAATTCACTGTAAGAGGGGGTGGGGGGGATGAGTGCCACTTTCAGTAATAGGTTTCTGGGTGGGTTTTTATAATAATGCATGGGTGCTGGAACAGGTCAACGAAGTAGCAAGCAGCACCTTGGAGGTGGCCACATTTAGATTCCTTTAATGTGTATAACGCATTGAATAAGCTATTCAGAGCATCAACCTTCCCCCCTGACGCCCCCACCTATCTTAGATTGGAGAGTGCGGCATGCCTCTAGCCATGGGTGGAGCCTGTTGGCTTTAATGTTGGAACTCTTGTATGCAGGAACACAATATGGATATGTTTGAGAGACACTCTTTTACTGGTATGGGATCACTAATGGGATATTCTAAGTACAATGTATCCTCTCACTCACACACCCCACCTTGATGAGTCAAGGGCATCCGGGAAGTGTCTCATTCTCTGCAGGAGCTATGAATCTTGTTAGTTAATGCCTGTATCGTGAGTGAATCAATAACAGCAGAGTGATTTCAAGCTTAGGAAGGTGCAAAACTGCCACTTTCAATGTATACATGTGTTTAAGGGCAGTGGCTGGCTATTTTTAGAAAATGAGATGGAATGGAAAATTAGGACTGAATGCTGAAGCAGAAGAAAGAAAATAACACATCAATATTGTATGCTGCATTTGATCTTGATAGATGTAAATGAACTTCAACTGTCAAATGAATTGCAAATTGGGCCAAATCAATAACTAGTTACAATGAGACAAGAATGCTTCTCATCTTATCTGAAATGTAATAAATCAGTTATTTGCAGCAGAGTGACGGCAGCTATAGGCAGTTCAAAAACATGGATATTATTGAGTTTAGTTCAGCTATGTAATAGAAAAACCTAAGAGTAATAAATAAATAAAGTATAAATAAAAGGTTACATGTCTGTCAAAGTTTAAAACCATAAGGGCAAAATCGAACCGGGGATAAAGATAATTGTCTTTGCATTTCATATTTTTGAGGCTCTATCGCATTCATAGAATCCTTTTCCAACCAATGAGTTTTCTTCATATTGTTTTTTGGTAATGAAATAAGGTCTGAGTGGGACACCGTAATTTGTATCTGATAGTATCTCTCTCTCAGCCCTTCCTCTGTTTCCAGCAGGTCTGGCCAAAGCAGAGGTAATGTTCACTCACTGGGGACTCAGGTCCATAAAACAATGGAAAAAATATCAGGATGCTAATGATAATTCTAATGATAGAAATTAAATGTTGCATTTATAATGTAACACACTGTTTAATGGGGCACAGCTGTGATGGGACAATAGAACCATTCAATTTGTCAACATTTCAGCATACAAATGCACATTGCGTGTAGAAAAGCATTATTTAACCAGTGATAAACAAAATGCTAACCAGCAGGAACAGTTAACACGAGGGAGCATTAAGGGTTAGTTACTTCAGGACTCTAGGCTCAGTTCTTCCCTGGGGTGCAAGCAGGTGCAAGGCGGGTTATAGGCGTTGAACTAACCAGCTGGGACCAACATCTAGCATCAAGCCAGCCTGAATCACACATGAAGGCCAAGTAGGCCTACTTCCGGCAAAAAACTGATTCCAAAATAAAACTGAGTACGTTTCAAGGAGTGGTGGACTGGTCCTGCTAACTCTATATCACAAAACAAAAGTAGAACAAGTAATTACAATATTATTCAAAGACCAAGCAAAATCCTCATGTTTTCTGTAACCATATGTTAGGCATAATAAGATAAATAAACTCACATTCAGTCATGGTCAATTTCCGACGAGCTTAATTATGTAATAAATAACCACTGTCACCAGCCATTTTTGGTAGTTATAATTGTATATATAGCGTGTCTTATTTTGTAGGATAAGTCATATAGCCAACATTATTCTTCAGCAGCAACTGTATGCTTTTATTTTTAAACTAGTTCCGGTTTTACGCAGGTTACTTCTGATAGCTTGATTTGGCTGAAGCTCCGCTCTCAGTAGCGTCTCCATGCACAACTAAGCACAAGGAGGATAGAGAATTAAGAAATACCCCCAACATCATTGTCGCTTGTTAAATGTCCATATAGAAACACAGACTAGACAGAAGAGAAAACACGAAGTGTAATCAGTTAAAAATAATAGATACAAAATAGTGCAAAAGTGTTCATCCCTTGAATAATGCAGCGTGGTGTAAATTGGTGTGTCTCCATGAGATGTTTCTGAGACTAGGAGTAGTTTAAATGACTAAATGACATATATCTAAAGTGATGAGATAATAAGAAAGCATTTTTCACCAACCTTGTTCTGGTTCCCAGTTAACTTGTTTCCTTGGGGTTTCTATTGGAAATTTCATCTCTATTTTTGTTCTCAATCAAAACGTAAGGGAATTTCAATAATATTTTAAAAAATAAATAAAAATATCCAAATCACGAGGAGTCCTCCAGCATCTTCGGGACATCATATGTTTGTGGATGATGGAGTAAATTGTACGCAGGAATAAACGCATCGTAAAACCGCATTGTCTGCCTCTGCTATCCCCCTCCCTTTTTCTCCTCCTCGCTTGGACGCGCGGTGATAGTCTAACAAGAGAGCTCCTTGAGAGACCTTTCACTGAGCTGTCGCACGGGAGGACCAAACCACATCACGTCTCACACCCGAACACACAAAAAACGGGTTGATCCGGTCCACAAACACAGCCACAGGGTGTCCAAAATAGCAACTTTACGCCAGAAGGTAGAACAACGGGAAGGGATGCTCTCCACCCTTCCATTCCCAAAGCTCTACTCCACATGCTTTGCTGCAAATACCTGGAGGAAATGTGCCTCTAGCCTGGCATCGGTTACATACTCACACATGTTCATAATACATTTTTGAATACTTACTGTTTTGGTTATTCCCAAAAACGGGATTATCTTCTCGTCATTTGGCAACCGGCGACGGAGCACATGGCGCAGGGCGGCAAGTCAGAGCTGCACGGCAAATCAGCTGCAGACACAAACCATGACATCATTCACATGTATGGGAAAACGTTGTATTATTTATGAACTTCTACAAAGTCCCTTCCTCCATCCCGTCAGAAGCCGACCAATTTAGGGAGCCATTGTTGAACAGCTAACATAGACATTTGTAGAAACTAAATTGAGCCTGAATTTATTTTTGATTATGGCCAAATTTGCTGTTTAAGTCATTTTCACACTGCAATGAAGAAATCTACAATCGTTTGCTTGTAAATGACACGAGGGGTCAAAAGGTTTATAAAACAATACAAGGAACACAGCAGAGTTAACAATACGCTGCTGACAGACGTTTCCCATGTCCAACATGCACTCAGTTGAATCAGAATGTATTGCACTCTGTGTACTCCCACTACCACATTATATATAAATGAGGCCACTGGTTGTGTTTTTTAGCAGGCCAGATGGTGTGTTTGCCTCAAACTGTCCTCAAAACAGCAAACCAATAATTAACAAGAGGCTCAGTAATTAGGAGGATGCATGAATAGAACTAACAATAATAGATTCAATATAAGTGTGATAGATAGATGGATGGATGGATATATAGATAGGATAGATAGATAGATAGATAGATAGTTTATTGATCCCAAAATCTATTATACAGTATATAAGTTGATGGAGCCATTATCCCCCTCTTCTGGATCATATTTAACTAAACTATTAGGCAGACAATTTTATAAAATGCAGTGCAAGTTTAAAGCCATTTTTGACAAAGGGGCTACAGTTCAGATGCAGTTTATTTTATTGGTGGAAGAAGTGTTCATTCAGCTATTTGTATAGTTCTACTTCTATAGAAATACTCCTTATCTTGTTCAAGTATAAATACAAAAGCAAGTATTTGATATTTCTAATGTCGTGGATCTGATTGAATTCTGAGTTATATACGTTATGCCTTGTTGTTTTTGTTCACTATTTCCTTTCAAGTGACAGGTGTGTTGTGTATGGGGGTGGGTGGTTGGGGCGTGACTTTCCTTACGCATGCGCGTGATGACGAAAGCAATCATAGCAACCAGCATGGCGACGGGGAAGCTTTGCTCCGCCACTCATCTGCTTATAAACTCGTATTAGGCTGTTACCGTTTCGTTACTTGATTAGCTTTCAGCGTTAAAATGTCCGTCGTTAAGTACACTGTAGTTTCTGGATGTATCCAAGCTCTACCGTCGCTGCCCAATAGTATTTCTGAGGAAAATGGGATACGCTGAGTGTAACATTAGCATGGAATCAAGAATAGGTATGCAACTACTGTTAGCATTAGCTAAGCTAGCTGTTTGGCTAGTGGATCAGCTGCATGAAGCTAATTCAAATTGTGCCTAGGCAGCTATGTGAAGATCAACTCTGGCTAACTCTGTATAAGCTCACTAATGTGGCTTCACGTTTATGTAGATACTGGTCAGCCCTTTACTAACTTAGCTTGTTAAACTTGAAATCTATAGCAACACAGTAGCGTCTAAGCCTATAACACGGTTCTTCTGTTAAAGCTAGCTAAAAAATAGGTTACTTTATTGTGGTACATTTATGGTTCATAGTACACGTGCTAATGTATGTTCTCAAAGATGTTCTTCTTAAAGTTCAAATTAAATGTATTTCTATAAACTTCAAAAAAGGATAAACTTAATGTAACATGGTCCGATTGTATTTTTTCAGATCACATATTTGTTGATAAGATCGGTTTTGAAACATATTTACATATTACTACTACTTATAATAACTGAGCAAGAATGGAAATACGTAGAAATACAACACAAAACGTGTTTACCCCATAGAAAGACCTACAAGTATTAACCAAGACTGAAGGACTGTTAAATAATGAGTTTCAATCAATATAAATTATATTTGATTAGTTTAATGTAAATAAATAATCTGTTTAATATTTGTAATTGATTAGTAAGCACATATATCATTCAGTAAGTTATAGCATCTTAAACATGTCAACATGCATCTGTTTTCATTCAGGGAGTGTATCATCTGGAGGGGGCTGCAGTGTGAGAGGACGGACTTCAAAAAGTAGCCGTGAGTAATATTATGCGCTTATATTATCATTTAAAACATTCAAATGAAAGCTTGATTATATCATTTACTGCATGTTGGATCTGTGTTTTCTGTCTTGCTTTTATAGCATTCTGCCCTCGCTCCTCCAGCATGTTGACACAGTCCATCGTAAAAGACCACATGGTGTCTCATTACAAGAAGGTTTACTCAGCTAAAGGTGAGCTACATGGCAGGAATACATTATGATCATTACATTGACATTCCGTAAAACAAACTAAATCAGCTCCTGAGAATTCGGAATAACTACACTGAACAAAAATATAAATGCAACACTTTTGTTTTTGCTCCCATTTTTCATGAGATGAACTCAAAGATCTAAAACATTTTCTATATACACAAAATAACCATTTCTCTCAAATATTGTTCACAAATCTGAAAAAATCTGTGATAGTGAGCACTTCTCCTTTGCCGAGATAATCCATCCCACCTCACAGGTGTGGCGCATATCAAGTCCGAAAACCCTAGGGTTAAACCCTAACCCTAACATGTCACCCATCTCCTTCGCATAGAGTTGATCAGGTTGTTGATTGTGGCCTGTGGAATGTTGGTCCACTCCTCTTCAATGGCTGTGCAAAGTTGCTGGATATTGGCAGGAACTGGAACACGTTGTCGTATACGCCGATCCAGAGCATCCCAAACATGCTCAATGGTTGACATGTTAGGGTTAGGGTTAGGGTTTAACCCTAGGGTTTTCGGACCCCCCCAATAAAGCAAAACTGCACGTTTCAGAGTGGCCTTTTATTGTGGCCAGCCTAAGGCACACCTGTACAATAATCATGCTGTCTAATCAGCATCTTGATATGCCACACCTGTGAGGTGGGATGGATTATCTCGGCAAAGGAGAAGTGCTCACTATCACAGATTTTTTCAAATTTGTGAACAATATTTGAGAGAAATGGTTATTTTGTGTGGATAGAAAATGTTTTAGATCTTTGAGTTCATCTCATGAAAAATGGGAGCAAAAACAAAAGTGTTGCATTTATATTTTTGTTCAGTGTAGTTTGGTCGTGCAATCATGGAAAGCTTTTAATGTAAACCACTTTGTAATTTGATCTTGAAATGCTCTTTATAAATAAATAAAAAATACTGTTATTGGTTGCGAAGTAATTGGATTCATTTTCTGTTGTAATCTTAATTAATTTTTGCCTCGTTCTACAGCTGCCATTGATGCCTCAGTACCCAAAAGCCTGATACACAGTGTAAAGTGTAAGTTTAAAAGTATCAAATATGACATTATTATGAAAGTAGCCTCAATAGGCAATAATGCGATGCAATCACTGATCCTGTTTGAGTCCAGGATGTAGCTCTCCCTTATCTTTACTGGTAAATTAATGCTCTCTTCTAATGGCTGTACTATAACAACTGCTCTCTTGCCCCTCTCATACCCTGCACTTAAGTACAGCGAGTCTTGGCCTATTTCCTGTGTCTATTCACTCTTCCGTTGCCTGTTTCCAGACAATGACCAGATCAGACAGGAGCGGTTGAGGAGAGGGGGTCGTCCTCAGTCAGCCAGTTCTCTCTCCCAGAGGAACAGCAGAGCCTCCTGCTCACCTGCCCTGGTAAGAAATCAAGACAGATTCACTGATGCGTCACTCAGAAGCCAGACATTGTTTAAAAACAACATGTTTCCTTTTCAGAGTAGATTATCTGTGCAGTATGATGACAGCCGCTACCTCTACTCAAGGAGTTCCTCAGTATCCAGCCCAGGGTTCAGCTCCTCCTTCCATGCCAAGGAGATAGTTTATCCATCGTATACAGTGGATTCTGACAAGTTCTCTCATCACATACGGCCAGCTTCAGAAATAAAATACCGTAGTCCTGAGGCAACTTCACACAGAAGGCAGTCAGCATATTCAATGGGAGCTTCAGGAGATCACAGTCACTACACGTCTTTCCAGGACCCTGTTCAGAAGACTTACAGCGGAGACTTGCTCCAGAAACATTCACAGCACTTTACCCCAGACAAACCCTTCACCCCTAAGACCCTGAAGTCAGAAAAGAGTTCATACCTTTCACAATATCGCTACTACCGAGCTCCCCGGAGGAAACCTACTCAGGATAGCACCAGCTCAAAATGTATGCGACAGGAGACATATCATGGAAGGTACTTACCACACATCTACATGAGTCTCAAGGGAAAACAATATATATACTGTATGTCTTTAAAACATTTGCTTAACCTGTAAAACATGTGTTCCTATGTGTTACAAATAACGTGAATTCAACCTTTTTTTATGCAGCACAAAGCCCAAGAAATACACACAAGAATTCTATGAGCCATCTCAGGTAATTTTGAGGGATTCATTTGATTATTGAAATATGTTTTCCAATGAGTCTTACAATCCTAGTACGGTGTCAACTTATCTTTTGTTAATCAAATTATCGATTTAACCCATCCTTTTGTATAATGGGTGGAATGTTTTTTTCTCAAGTTATTGTTTGTGGTTTATCAAGGTTTTAATGCTTGCACTGCACTTCCCGAATATCAATTAAGATGTTTAAAGGTGACCTATCATGCAAAATGCACTTTTGTACGTCTTTTATACTTGAATATGTGTCCCCGGTGTTCCAGGGAACTCACCAAGTGTCAGAAAACACAACCCTCTCTATTTTCCTCCATACCCAAATCTCTTAAAAAGGGGCTGCAACGGATCTGATACAGACTGATCCAGATTTGAACACCTCTCTGACGTCACAGAAGTGGCGCTACGGCTATTGGGCCAACTCCACCAATCAGGAGGAGACAGCCACGGACATTGCCATTCGAAAGCGCTGGCGACGCTGTTGTACATATGCCAGGCCTGTAGATGGTGCTGTTCTCACAGAATCAGCCCATGCAAAGACAGTGTTAAATTGAGCGAAATGAGGAATGGCTAAAATGCATGATCTGTTTGGTATTTTGAAAAATAAAAAGTATAAATATGCCTTATATAGGTATGGTCCTACACTATATTATTCAAATATAGCATGATAGGTCCACTTTAACATTTGCATTAAGCCTTAGCTGTTATCCCATAATTATTTCCAAGATCATAAAAGCCACATGTTTAGTAATACCAACACTTACTGAGTCAGAGGGCATTCTGTGGTGCAGTAGCCACATACAAATAGTGGTTTATAATTATTTGTTGCTCAATGTTGGTCATAAATCCTCGAGTTGTTTATCATCCCTTTAGACCATGAAGAACTTAAGTATTTGCAGCTACATTAAACATTTAATCGTGAGGCAGTTTTGGTAATATTTAATGTCCTCATTCAATCCTTTTTGTTTAGCAGGGATTTCTTACAGAGCACGAGTGGTCTGAAGAAGAATTCAATGGCACATATTTCTCTGCATCGAGACAACAGAGTCGAGCACACAAGAGCAGAGACCGTGATTTATTTGACTCCTCATCCAGGTGAAATCCTAGACTGTAAATGCTATGTTGCATTTTAAAACAAATGTTATACCTGGTGTATTTTGTGTTTAAAGTCCTAAAATAATTTAATTCTCATTTATTAGGGGCTCACTGGACGGCGATAAATCTTCCATCAACAAAAGTTTATCTGCAGAGTAAGTTCTCTTTGATAATGTCTAATCCTTAAACAGCTTTTAATTCATATAAACCAAAGCTCTTGCCAGATGTATAGGGGTTGGCAGTACGACGCTTCTGTGATTCTTTAGATCCATGAACAATAATGTCTCTGGGAAGTTGCTAATTCTAATTTTGGTTTAACAGGGAAGAAGAATTAATGTACCTCGAATTCATTTCTGCTGTAACAGAGGATATATTGTCCAAGGGGCACATCTCTGACAGGTTTGTCATGTTTTCTATGAACCGCTTTATGTTGTGCTACAGACATTTACAGGATGGCACTTTTTGAATAGGCATGTGTTCCATATTTGATTATATTGTTAAACCATCTGTCTGTGTCCTCTTCTAGGTTCTTAGACCGGGTGATGAATCGCCATATCGACATGAATCGGCATCAGCTTGATGTGGTTAGTGACTTTTTGCAGAATATGTTAAGCAAGTATTTTTTAAGTGTTCGGTTTACAGCTTTAAATACAAAATACAAATTTAAAAGGAAATGTAAAACATTGTCACAAAGGACTTTTTTCTTGCATCTGATTATATTGTTTGATTTTAGGGTAAAATGCGCCACCTTCTGGAAGTGCTGCGTAAAGAGTTTGAAGAGCCAGCCAACTCATTCACCCCCAGTACAGAGATAGAAAAAAAGAAAAATGATCGGGGTGATTCATTCTTGCCATATGTTGAATCAGGAGGGAAACAAGAAAAGACCAAAAAAGACGATGACCTTCTCTCCTATGCATCACTTATTAAATCCTGCGATTTGCAAGATTATGCTGATCCCCTCTTGGTGTCTACACCCTTATACTCTCCTGGAAAGACTGCTGCCTCACCAACTGAAACAAACGAAAAGGACGAAGCAGTTAACAATCAGGAAGAAGGCAATAAATCTCCTTGTCTCCGTGACCATGCTTCTAATAATACGGAAATCAGTGAAGAAGTCCATCAAAATCAAACAGGCACAACTGAGTCAAACAAAGAAGTCACCTCTGAAAACCATGAAGTTACCCCCATAACCAGTGACCGAGACCAAGAAGAAGTCAGTTATGATGGACAATCTAAAGAACTTGAAGATCTGGGGAGAAGTTTGTCAGAGTCGCTTCATGTATCCAGCAATAAAAACCACGGCAATGAGGATACTGTTGCTGAGCAACCTGCACATTCAGTTGCGTCTGTCAGTGATGACGAGTTCTGAGTTTTACCTGTATTCTGTGATTGAATGTTCTTTTATATTCTTGTTACCAAGTGAGTGTTTTTTCCAGAGAGAAATGTAATATTTGAAATTTCTGAAAGTATAGTTTTGTATTTGTGATTTATCACTGGTTGTGTTGTATTGTCCAATTTTTTTTTAAAACCCCACCAAAATGGTGTTGTTCTATTCTGAATTAAAAAAAAAAATGTTTACAAAAATAAACAGGGTTTTTAAAGTACAACAGAGAAATTATAATTTCTAATTTGGGATATTGTAAAGTGGCCACTTACTGGCCGTAGTGGTATATCTTCAAATGACCCTCAGATTAAATGTTCTAGATTGCCCTGTGGTATCTAGTGAGAATAGCCAATTTGCACTGTCAGATGTGTGAAATGTGTGGTTTCATTTTGATTTAGTCGATTGTAGAGTTTACCTATAGTCTTAATGTAGCTACTGTTTACATTTGTTGATTTCCAAAAAACAACAACAACACTTGTAAAGAAACATAAACTTTTTTCCAGTGTGTTTGACTTGACATATGCCTCAGAGATGTAGCAACTAGGAGATGATTGTCACCGGAAAGTGTCTTTACAATTGCAATAAATTACTATTTCTTTTGATCCTTGTATCCTGACATTTTGTATTATTAACATTATTACAAACTGATAATTATTCGATATGCAACCTGTAACAAGCGCGGCAATTATTACCACATTGAGGGAGACTTTTAAATCTTAGCAAAAGTAATCTATGTTTGCAATTACAGCTGTCAGCCGATGTAAAGGTAAACAGACAGGTCAGCGGCCAGCAGTTCCAGGCAGCTGTCCCATTTCTGGCATTTTCACCGCTCCGCATTCCAGCAGTGTGATGTCATGGCTCTGAAAACCTAAGTGTGTTCCTCCGCCACGGATGCACTATAATGCATTTTGAAACGTCTGCTCAAACAGGTACGTTTAATCGTATATTGTGTATGCAATTATTGAAAAGTCTGTATGTATTCCAATGTTATAAGCTGATTTATAAGATGTTGAAGGACAGCTAATATAGCTATAGTGCCGCGGATGTAGACGGAATACGCTTGTTGCTCTTCCAATCCCAGGAAGCGAAACACGCTTGGAACTTGAGTGAACTGTTGGACCAAGAGGCATGGGGTGCTACGTTAGTTTTGATCCACCAACAAACTACAGACCAACAGGCTGTCTCTAATTTAGAAACATATCTAAACAGTAGAGTGAGCAATTGACCTTGATGGCGGAATCCGTCAGGACTGAATCCTAGTTGGACTACTTTTTTGCATCTGGTGGCTAACGGTAACGTTAACGTTTTTTCCCAAAATATTTACCGGCGACGTCAGCTTCCCAAGGGTGTCGTCTATTTGCTGGAACACAAGTTAGCATGCTAGCATTCAAGCTAATTTGACGCTAGTTGTAAGTAACGGTTAAAGTTATGGATGTATCAAAAGGACTAACTAAAAGTAGGAAGTTAGAGGGGAAATGAACAAATATTTGGGAAACCCATCCTTTAATTTCAGTAATGCTAAGTCGGTTAAGTTATAGAGTATAAACGTTGTAATACAATGGTTGTATGTTTGAGTTGGAAAGCAGTAGGGATTTTGCAGTGTTGTGTTCGACAGTAGTAGCTTGCTGCGTATTGAATCTGGTTGCTCTTGTCAGTGTTTGTATCAGACTATTCACTGGAAGGGTTTCATTTATTTGACCACAATCGTGGAATGTGGCTTGCATGCCGTGTTATGTAAATGACATAGGTCAGGAGGCATATTACAAATAGCTGTCTATTTGCTTTAAATGTTTTTTTGAGTGTAAACTTAGAGAACTGCATTATGAATTGGTAGCAAACTCAAGCCAAGTCAGGTATTTAAAAAAATGCCTACTTTAAGAAGATTACTCTTCGATAAGTCTTGTGTTGTCTGGTTCAGGGTGACAGACTGACTAGCTGTGAATAAACTGTTGTAACATACTCTTTAGTGATGAGTATGAACACTATGGTTGTGATTCATCATGGCATTTACCATCCTATTCCAAGTTTTCTATTTTATGTCATTATGTCATTTTTGTGAATTTATGTCTCTTTTCTCTCTTTTCAGATCTGTGTGCTGATGATGAGCCTCATGAGATGTAACATTCACAAAGTGTTCGAGGGGACAGCAAGGAGAACTATTTCTCTGGACTAAGTGAATAGCTCCCTCTTGGAAAAGTGTGAAACATGCCCTTGCCATTTGGCTTAAAACTCAAAAGGACTCGAAGGTATACTGTTTCAAGCAAGAGCTGTCTTGTCACTCGGATTCAGCTGCTCAATGGGGAGTTTGTTGAGTTTACACTTTCAGTGGAGAGCACCGGGCAGGAATGTTTGGAAGCAGTTGCTCAGAGACTTGAGTTAAGAGAGGTATGTCTGTTTTTTCATCCAAAACAAGTGCAGATTGTTCTCTCTTATATACTTTTTGAGAATCATCTCAGATACTTATCTTTTGGAAATGTGTTAATTACATACTCTGTATTAATATGTAATAACATGCATGTTATCAACTCATCACAACTTGTTGCCCACATTCACTTTCTTTTTTGTATTTCCTTTTAAACAAAAGTTCCAGCTCTCAAATCATGAACAATATGTTCAAGAAAAACTGTCAGTCAGAATTGAATAATGCAATGAGCTTCATATGTGCATTTGGTCACCTGGTTATCATGAGCTGAAATAGATGCTTTCATTGTTAGACACAACTCAAATGAACAATAGATACTGCTATACAAACAGGTGTTTTGCCTGGGAACATGCACTAAATCACAGTGTCTGTTATTCTGATGCAAAGTGGCTAGCGGGACTAAGCCTCTAGCCATTTAAACGTTTTCTTGTATTCAGAGCAATAACCATATTGTTTTTTTTTTGTGCAATCATGAGGTTCTCCATCCATCTCTCGTAGAGCATGTTCTGTCACTTTACTTGATTTAGGGATGATATTTACAACCACTGTCTTATTTGTTACTATTTTCTCTCCTCCAGATCGTTATTATTTAAACAACATTTGTATTAATGGCCACATAGCTTTAAATAATAGTTTCCAATGGCCATGTTTCTAGTTGTGATTTGAGAGTTGCTGCAAATCACAAAACTCCTCTTTCAGCAAATGTGTCTTTGGTAGACAGCAAGCCTATAGGCCAGGGGGTTACTTTTCTTACCAGTGTTTATTGTGAGATGTTCAGGCAGTCACAAGACTGAACAGGGACTGCCAGCAGCCTATACATCTGGGCCCGTTTTTTTTTATAGGTCTACATAAGTGTTGAATGTAATGATGTGCAGTATTGATCTAAAGCAGTCACTCAATATTGTTCTAAAGTTGAATATGTTTAGTGTGCATTCATTTGGGGTTCAGTACAGATAGTAAAACCAAAATGTCCTTAGGGTTTCTTTCATCACAGCATGTCTAAGGTGTGATGTTTGTGCTTCTCTGCTTGTTAGATAACATTCTTCAGCTTGTGGTACTTCAACAAGCAGAACCAGCAGAGATGGATCGACTTGGAAAAGCCGCTGAAAAAGCAGCTGGACAAGTATGGGCTCGAGCCCACCGTTTACTTTGGAGTCGTGTTTTACATACCCAGTGTCAACCAACTGCAACAGGAGATCACAAGGTGAGGTTTCGTCAGTGGCACGAGGTCTCTTGTACTAGGCCTATTACCTTAGTGACAATTTATACAATTAATGCCAATCAAAGAGATATTTTGAGATAATTTTGCCTGTTTTAAAGTGGCCAACGAGAAAATAAGTTCATCAAGCACAGTTGATCAGTGATTTCATTTGACCTATGTTTGTTTTAAATATACAAATCAATTCAGAGCAGTCATTTATTTTTTTGTTTTCGAGTGCTTGTTCATTCCCCACAGAAGTAACCCTCTCTTCTTCTCCACAGATATCAGTATTACCTACAGATGAAGAAGGATTTTACGGAGGGCAGGATCTCTTGCTTACCAGAACAAGCTATTCGTTTAGCTAGCCTGGCAGTGCAAGGTAAATAATAAATACATGATACAAGTCGAAAAAAGAAACCTGGGGTTGACAAGCCTGTTGTTTCCTGACGTAAAGCTTCAGTGAAACTTGTAATTTTAAACATTGACAGGCGGCTTTTGCTAGTTTTTGTTAAGTATTATACCGCACCTAACAAGCACCATTACGCCTAAACCAGCATATTAAATGGGTCAGTGGTGTGTTTGTGTGTGAATGTGAACTCCCCTTGCAAGAGTTTTAGCCCTGACACGTCCTCCCACTTCTGGCCAACCAGAAGAATCTCAAACACTGCTGGCAAAGTTAAATCAGGCTCTGCAACTTACTGGCCTGGGTGTTGGAATAGCACAGCCTCCGAGATCACTTACTGCTGCGGCCATCTTCAAATGACTGACCAGCATGCATTATGTACATTTTAAGAAAAGCTGTAAGAAGCTTCTTCCAAGTTTTACTAAAGATAAGACACGGCTCAAGTTGTCTTGCAGACTTTGCATGACTTTAAAAGTGCAGTGTGCAGTTCCTATTTTCTCTCCCTGGCTGTGGTGTTTTGGAGTGAAGGGCAGTTGTAGCGTTTAAGCAGGGCTGATTCCTGGGATAGCCAACATAGTTGTGAATGTTGCCAGCCTGAAGCTAATAACAGCTTTGGACTTCTACGTTGTCAGACGCTAGAGCAATCCCCCTTTCTTTACAAATGTGCCCCTCCTCTCCTAAAATGTGTGGCACTGCAGCTTTCCAAGAGGCATTACAGCACGCTGCAATCCTTGAATGTCTATTTAGGCTTGTACTCAATGCAGAATTGGACATGTAATCAAGTTTATTCAGAACGCCGTGTTATGCACAGTATGCTCATGAAGTCTGTCTTTTTTTGTACACAGCTGACTTTGGAGACTTCAATCGATATGATTCCCAGGACTTCCTCCAGAAGCTTGCGTTGTTCCCTATTGTAAGCTTTTTTTTAATTTACATGTGAAATGAAAAGTGTTCTTATTTGTATTTAAATACCAACATTGTTTCAACCGTGATATTCTCTTTTGCAGGACTGGATCCAGGATGAGCGTGTGCTTGAAGAGGCCACTCAGAAAGTGGCTCTTCTGTATCAGTCCTACAGGTGAGCATCAGCCGGTCTGTACTGTGTGGAGAAACAGACAAAAGCAGTCCTTTTTGCTTCTATAAAGCCACGCAGCTCTTTTTATTATCTTTGTTAATTTAGAGTCCTTACTGAGGCCATAAAGTTACTACCATGACTTATTGCAATGCAGTGATTCTTTCTTGTTTTTTTGGTAGGTGAATGGGTTTTGATGGTTGTTTTGTCCTGTTATCTTTTTAAGGGGTTTATCAGCTCCAGAGGCAGAGATGTTGTACATGCAGGAGGTGGAGAAAATGGAAGGCTATGGTCAGGAGAGCTATCAAGCCAAGGTAAGTTAACACGTTGCTTTGATCCCCGACAGCTCAAACACTGAAGAAGACTGCATACTATGTGTCTGGATTCTTTCACCTCAAACGATGTTCTGAATGTCTTCATCCTCTCCACGCATCTAAACAGGACAGCACAGGCACAGACGTTTCCATGGGGTCGTGCCTCGATGGCATCTTTGTCAAGCATAAAAATGGCAGGCCGCTTCTTTTATTTAGGTAAGTCTAGCCAGAAATTGGTTCCAAATGATCTTTACTTCTAACAGTGAAGAATAAAGGTGTTCAAAATGTTGATTCTGAGAAGCAATTGTTTTGAATCTGTCTCAGCAGCTCACAGCTATTCTTGGGTTAGGTGGTCTCCTTTTCTGTTCCTTAATGCTAGATCTGAATGTGGCCTAAGTGGAATGAGTCAAGTAAAGTAACATTGTTTTAGCATTATCTGTCTGTCTAGTGAGTGGGAGTGCATTCTTGACCTTCCATGAACTGTATCTATCTACATACCATTATAGGTACTGCATATGCCTTATTTCATAGACTCCCACATGCATTGCTTAAGCAGTGCCAAAGTCTCTTTTTAAAAATGCCACAAAGTGATGTGACTGCCATGACATGTGTTTTTCTTTTCCCTCTCTCTCTCTGCCACCGTGCTTTAAACGGCTGCGTAGGTGGAATGAAATTAACAACATGAGTCATAACAGGTCCTTCTTTGTCCTGGAGCTCACCAACAGAGAGGAGAGTGTCCAGTTCCAGACAGTAAGTCTCTGCTGCCATTGCACCTTGTCTGCCCTGCTCGTCCCCGGAGACATTTCAGTCTCTTATTGAATTTGGCTAAATTAGACATTGCCAATCGTCAGGGAGCTGAGCATCAGCTAGTCTGAACAATTCACCCGTGTTTGTGTGTGGGTGTGGCTGCTGCTAGGGATGTTTGGGTATGTTACTTATGTGTTGGGCATAAAGTCACATACCATTAGCCGAAACTCAATGTAGCAAGTATTTGATAGCATACAGAGGAACAACTTTACTTAGAGATAACTAAGCAAACACCACCTTTGTGCTACTTGTGTTAACATCTAATGCTTTTCTTTTCTTTGTGTAGGAAGACATGGAAACCTCCAAATACGTGTGCCGGATGTGTCTGGCCAGACTCAAGTTTTATAAGATAAACAAGAGTAGCCTGTAAGTTTTTTTTTTTTTTGCATGTCTAGCCTAGTTCCTGTCTCTTTGTTCCTTGTGGTCTCGTGCATGTGTCTCCTCTTCGGTGTAGCCTCACTTCTCTCCTCCTCTCCTCCTCTCTTCAGAGAGGAGTGTGACCCCCTGCCTTCTGAGGGCTCCCAGAAGTCCCTTCTCACTCTATCCTTTCCTCGCTTTCCAATGCTCTCTCGTCCCTCTCTGCCTTCTAATAAGGGGTGAGCATTACAATCAGCCCTACCCATAATATTTGACATACGGCTGTTTAGCAGGTGCCAACACCAATCCCTTTGTGATTGTCTCTAGACAACACTGCATCAACAAACAAGCTCTCTTCTTTGTAGCTGAAAGGGCCCTTTGGTTGTAATTCTTGTGTATCAAAATGAATACAATTCATTTTAAAGTCTTTTTTTGTCAGCACTATTTGTAAAATCAAGATGATCTTTAAGATTGTTTAAAATCTTGGCATTACCTGTTCAGTATTCTCTCTTACAGTAATTCATTTACTTTTGAGTTGATCAGATATTTAAAGATCTACATTTTCTAAGTTTATACTATATTTGATTAAGTTGCTCAGCTTCATGTGTTTAGAAAATACTCTACAAACAGAAATGTGCTCTGTTTATGAGTCAATTAAAAATAAAAACACATCGCATGACTCTTCTCTTAAACCAGGTGTGCTGGTGTACTTTAAGACATGTGGAAAATGTTGCATGGTGTTCTGGAGAACAGTTGAGCATGTGTTTTTAAGTCTGAACTTAACCATGTCTGCAGTGTGCTGTGTGTGCAATGAAAAGAAGGTCTTTAAAAAATATATTTCAAAAAGTTATAACAACACACATTCGTTTTACCCACCAGCCAAACCCAGCCTGTCGTTGTGAACCCAGTCAGACGGAGGTCCTCTACTAGAATTACTCTGGTAATGTCCATGCACATATTTTCCTGATTTTCTAGCTTGCAGTTCAGAACATGATGTGTCTTCCAATAAAGACTTATTTTGAATCATTTTCTCAGATCATATGAGCTGTGGCTGAATTCCTCTTGTTTGTTTCAGCCAAAGCCTCAGGCCTACATGATGCCCCCTCCTCAAATGCACTACAATGGTCATTTCACAGAGCCTTACACATCATCACAAGGTAATTAATGGCACAATGAACCTGAAAAGCAGTGCACAAGATGGCATTAGAAGTTTTTTCCTTCAACTACATTTAATGTTGCATGGTTTTATAAATGTAATCCATTGTCCATGTAAGGATGTGTTTTCAATTTGCCTTCTCACAGACAACCTGTACATGAACAATCAGAACGGTTATTACTACCACTCGCAGACCAGCCTGGACTGCTCCCCTCTGGAATACAGCAGCGGGGGGCGGTTACGTAACGGCAGTGTGTACAGCGCCCACAGCACCAGCTCTCTCACTAATCCCCAGCACTACCTCCAGCCCTCACCCATGTCCTCCAACCCCTCCATCACCAGCGACATCACCAGGCCCGACTATGTCCCCTCGCATCGCCACAGCGCGCTCATCCCCCCGTCCTACCGCGCCACCCCGGATTACGAGACAGTGATGCGTCAGAAGAACCGCGGAGCAGGATTTGGGATGCTTTCGTCTCAAGACCACCGACAGAGCCACTCCATGAGGAACCTGAACATTGGTAACTCGTACGCCTACAGCAGACCGGACCCTCTAGTTTACAGCCAGCCAGAGATCAGAGGAGAGCACGGCGGAGCAGCCCCCCACCATCACTATCCTTTCCACCTGGGCTCCAGCTTCCACAGCCCCTCTCCTTACCCCTATCCCACAGAGAGAAGGCCCGTAGTGGGGGCGGTCAGTGTCCCGGAGCTCACTAATGTCCAGCTGCAACAGGCACAGGAGTACCCCGCCCCTAACATCATGAGAACACATGTGTACCGACCACCTCCCCCCTACCCGTACGCCCACCCACGGCCCGCTAACAGCACCCCTGACCTGTCGCGTCACCTCTATGTCAGCAGCAGCAACCCAGACCTGATCATCACCAGGCGTGTGCACCACTCGGTCCAGACCTTCCAGGAGGACAGCCTACCGGTAGCCCACTCCTTACAAGAGGTGTCGGAGCCTCTTTTCAGCGGACCCCCACAGAGACACCCTTACCACGCTCAGAAGCGGAACTCCATTGAGATCGCTGGATTAGCACACAGTCTGGAGGGGATGAGGGTGAAGGAGCGCACCGTGTCTTCCTCGGCCGCCGAAACCGTCACGCCCCCTCCCCCCCTGCGAGGCGGTCGCTCTCAAGGCTCTCATCTCAACGTGTATTTGGAACGCATAAAGACGGACGACGGGGGCGACATTAAGGAGGACGTACAGTACGGACACAAGAAGTCCCTTTCCGACGCCACCATGCTGGTTCACAGCAGTGGGGAAGAGGAGGAGTTTGAGGAGGACAGTGGACGCCACACTCCTCTTTCCCAGGATGCACTAGAAGCTGTTCCCGTGCAGCCGCCCCAACAGCACAGCAGTTTGACATCTCTGTCGCTCCTTCAGCAACAAACTCCCTCAGAGCCGCCTCCTGCGTATCCCATCGGCTCCTCTCTGGACCCCTCTATAACCAGCTCCTTGACTTACAACGTTCACCCCCAGAGCCAGGAGGGCGAGCCTCTCTACCTGCTGTCAGATTTACGACAGCCCAGAATAATGCCCTCTGTGTCTGAGGGAGACCTGAGTGGCCAGGCTAAGCAGAAGACTAAAAAAGACTTCAAGAAGAGGCCTGTGTCTGATGTGCCTGCCGGGAAGAAAACAGTGGAAGGGTTGCCCCCTCCGGTGAGTGCTGTTCCCAGTTACATCACATTCTCAGCATAGTGCAGTAGTTAATAATCCTTATGACATTTAGACATTTCTCAAAGCCACCTCTGGTTATAGATATCGTATTTCTCTAGGATTCTGTATTTCAAATTGGCATGAAAGCAAGATTGAGGATAGAGCAGCTATTTATTTGTTTCATGGTGGTCTTACAACTAGGAATGGGAATGATTAATCGAATATTCGAATATGAGTTATGAATATTTTTCTTGTAATTTATTTTCCTTTTTTGAATTAAATGTATAATACGACAGTGCCATTTAAAATATCTTAAGAAATACATGAAAGAAAACTTGGTTTTGTTTCTATATTTATTGGAAATGTTATTTAAACCTTTTTTTAATTTTTTCTTTTTTTAAACATTTAAAAAAAAAACACATTTTATAGGATATGTCAATTCTGTTAACTGTTTTTTTGGGGGTCGAATATTCTGATATAAATTTGCTTTCAAATTCCCATCCCTACTTAGCACATCTTATCACACTCCAGCTCTGAAATGTCTTTGAAGTTGCACTGTAATAATACCTCAGGAAACCTACTCCGAGCTTGCTGTAAAAGTGTTTTGTTCCCAGACATGTGTTTTGCTCATTTGAAAGTCACATGAGTATGCACCCAGATAACATTAGGAAGTCTGAACATAGTGTTGGAGTCAGTTTCAGGGGCCAGCTCTCAATGCACGCACACTATCACAAAGAATGCAGCTGGAGTACCTTGTAAAACTGGCCAGGTGACATTCCCTGAGCAAACACCCAGCAGGCTGCGTTGTCCCGCCCCTCTTGCATGCTGACTCCCTCACAGCGACACATCGTCCTCACTGTTTCTCTGTCTCCTCTCTGTTGTCACACCAGGGCATGAAGAAAGGAGCCAGGTCAGAGTTCAAGAAGAGGGGCCCGATGAAAGAGGCTTATCTAAACGGCCTGTCGGTGTCGAGGCAGCCGATGCACGAAGAGGTGAAGGATGAGCCTGAGAGAGCATCCAATGAAGAGAGGGTAGGACAACTTTCTGCCGTAATGGTTTGCTTCTTGACAAACAGATTTACAAATACAGATAAAACGTAGTTGGGTGTATGTAGGCAATGGAAAGCTAAGATATGTCAGATGTGTTACAGTATGCTTGTACTCATTAGCACGTTCTACTGTTTGTGTTTATATTCACCTGCTGCTAGGTTGTTGAACAGGTACATGGGGACAACGTTTTGTCAATGTTCTTGTTCTGGAGGTTAAACACAGCTCAACTGGTCAGCCTAATTAGTCTTGATGCTTGTTGCTTTAACACCGATGTTACCTTTCCATTTCCAAAATAAATTAATATGTTGATAATGTGATCTGTGAGCACACAGTAGATTCCCAAATGTCTCATACACACAGGATTGTAGAAAGATGAAAATATCAACCATACATATCACTCACATTTCTTTATTTAGTTATTATTTCTACATGGCTTCTTTACTTATTGAAATAATTCAACTCCTTGTGTCATCCGTCTATTCATCATTTACAAAACTCCACTACTGCACATCTATATCTTTTAGATGAGTATATTGAATGTTCCTTTAGTGCTTTTGAAAGTTTCCAAAATAACTAAGCAAGAATGGTGCTACATGTTTTCCGTTTTTACAGATTGGTACAAAAATATGAGTAGCAAATGGATTTAAATGGATGTTCACTGTGATTTTGTGTTGTCTAATTTGCTTCAAAACGGTTAGGGTCTTGGGGCTGAACTTTTAAACTTTTAAGCAACAACCACATTTCTTACATACTATCCAGAATCAGAGAAATGCCTTGTCATTCAATACCACATTTCAATACCTTAGGAGTAAATTGCATTAACATGAGTGACTTGCTTGTACCAAGATCAAATGATGCTGTGTTTAGACATTTTTTAAACTACACCCAGTCTTTTGATAACATTCACAAGTGAAAGCTTTGTCCTCTTATAGCAAGCACAACTCAGTACTTCTACCTTTTATAGAAAGTAAAACTACAATCATAGGAAGTTAGGATAATCCTATTTATGAAAATGTGTCTCTGCTGACTCAGATTTCATTCTGACCTGTTACGCAGCGTCCACACGGCGGCGTGCATTGAAGCTTGCCGGTGAGCTTGTCTGAAACTCGACCAACAACCAATCACATGAATCTCCTGCCCCGGACACACAAGCACGCGGTTTGATTGGCTAGAGCTTGTACTGGCATATGATTTGATTGGCTGACGCTTCCGCCGAAGCGTCAAAAGTTGAACATTGCTCAACTTTTGAAGCGAGCAACGCAACGCTCCCACAATGCAGTTCGGCAAAGCGTGCCGTCGCCCCATTCAAAGTGAATGGGCAGAAGCGTTGACGCTTCAACGCACGCCTCCGTGTGGACGGGCCGTTATACTGTATATGTCATTGCAGCGTTTATGTATGCATAATTGGGATTGGGCCAAGGAAGTCCAAACAGGGGAAGGTTGTTTATGAGTCAGGACCGCATCACCCATTGTTTCCTGTTTCCTCGTGTGTGTTAGTGTCAGGTTCTGGAGCAGCATATGGAGAGGGGAGAGATGCTGAAGGAGTACGACAGCATCCCGAAGCGCCGCCCAGGGGGGGGGTGCTCCATCGCCCAGCTGCCGGAGAGCGGAGACAAGAACCGCTTCCAGGACGTCATGCCGTACGATGACACCCGAGTGGAACTGGTTCCCACTAAAGAGAACAACACGGGATACATCAACGCATCACATGTTAGAGTAAGTTGTCTTGTCTCATGACATATCACATGTTCCTGATTTTGTTTCATAATTAGGACAACAAAGCACTTGGAGCAGAAACGTTTGCTCATGATGATCAGTGAAGCTGCTGATACGGCTGGTTTATTTGTCTTTCTATGAATGTAGGGTTGGGTAATAATGGCAAAAATCAATATGCATTGTTACGTCAATACAACAGATGCTTTTCCAGAAAATCAATTCCAAAGAAACGCCCTGCCATTATGTCATTCTACATGTGATGTCAGTGTAAAATGATATATAATTAAGTGTTTCCACAACACTGACCTTACTGTCTGACTCAGAGCGAAGGTATACATTTCAAAACCATGCCACTACCTTAGAACATTCGGTTTGGCTTTCCAATACAAAGACTATTTGTTCATTCTTTTTTTGATTTGAGATCAAGGGTGGTTTTATGTGTTTGAACAGCTGTTACTATGTAGCTGCTTCTCCACCACCTGCAGAAAATCACATGCAGGAACACACCCTCAGTACAGGACTGACTTTAAACAACAATGGAAATACTTGGAATTAAGAATGGCCTGCTTTAAATTCAGGATTTGTGAGGGACTCATGAATATGATTAAGTCATTGGTTATATTCCAAAAACGTAAGCTAAGCATGATAACACTAAACTTTCTCTATCCTTTGAATAACAAAGTCTAAAAGAAACACCAGCAAAGTCCAGCTCTGATAACAAACCCATGACTCTGTTTCTATGGCTGCTGCTGCTTCTCATTCACTCTTCATCATCAAATCTATGACACAATCAACAACACAAATCTATGCTGTTCTCTAGTTGTGTTTTTTAGAGAATGTATGATGAGTACCTGTGACTGAAACACATCCCCCTCTCCTCTCTCACCAGATAACGGTGAATGGGCAGGAGTGGAGCTACATAGCGACGCAGGGTCCGATGTCCAACACGTGTCCGGACTTCTGGCAGATGGTGTGGGAACAGGGTGTCTCCATCATCGCCATGGTCACCGCTGAAGAGGTGCGATTTCATATTAACAGCACCCCATTTTTTCTTTCACTCCTCATCATTACCTCGATTGACCTTTTTAGTTTGTCCTCTGCTTCCTCCAGGAGAGCGGCCGAGAAAAGAGTTTCCGTTACTGGCCGCGCCTCGGCTCTCGTCACAACACGGTGACGTACGGCCGCTTCAAGATCACAACGCGCTTCCGCACAGAGTCCGGCTGCTACGCCACCACCGGGCTGAAGATCAAACACCTGCTGACGGGCCAGGAGAGGACCGTCTGGCACCTGCAGTACACGGACTGGCCCGACCACGGCTGCCCCGAGGACTTCAAAGGCTTCCTCAGTGAGTGGGACCCATATCTGTTTGTCCGTTACATGCTTTCTGTTCAGATATCTACCAGGAAGACTGAACAAGTGTATTCATTAGTTTGACTTAATAATAGTAGACCTGGGGGGTATACTACGAATCTAGTTCAACCTATCCTGGATATGTTTTGAGTTATCCGGTTGACTTAATCCAAAACAAAGCCGCTCTCGCTAAACTGTCCTACAGCGCTGGCTATCAACTCGTTCGCTCAAGCCAGCCGTGTCCTATCTATGTAGGTTCACATGAAAGGGGTGGTATCTGGAGCATTCGACCAATCACAAACATGGACAAGCGTACTGACAGCGCAGCGTCATACTTCCTGAATGAAAAGTCAACTATAATATTAGACATATGGAGTTAAACTTTAAACATCCATGACTTAAACACTTTATCCAGGATAAAAGCCACATAGTTGCACCTGCAAGGTGAATACAGCTGGTAAAAGAAAAAGTGTTTGAATGCGTACATGAACAGGTTTATGATATCACTGCCCCGCATACTTGCCAACCTTGAGACCTCAGAAATCGGGAGAATTTCAAAATGCAAAATGGGGGGGGGTTGCTAGTTTATCGCCGGAGCTGTTAGATTAACATTAACATGCTGCTTATTGTAGTTCTAAGTGCAGCCTGTAGCACCATCCTTGATGGA